AAACCCTATTCTTTAAGTCATTGAATTGACTTTCAGATGATGCACTTGTTTCTGTAATGTTACCAAAACCAAAAAAAGGAACCATCACAGCTGTCCAACATGGCAAAAGTTTACAAAATTGCAATAATATTTTTGCAATTTTAATATTGTGTTGATGATTATCTCGATCTCCATGATCATGTATTTTGGACAAATCAACATAATTATTATACAAAACTTTAATGTTCTTGAAGTATTCTTTATCAGAGGTTAAAATATTTATATCTGAATCTGAATCTGTTTCATACTCGTTTAATTCCAAAATGTCTTCATTATTTAGGTAATTTGGTGTATCTTCAATTGATGCAATTTTTATTTTTAATTCAGTTTTATACCGTTCACATAAGTTCAATTCTCCGGGAATTTCATTTATCCCTTCTGTTTCAAACAAAGCCACAATAAAAATTGATTTAAGCAAATACTTTATTGTTTAAAAATCCTTTGACTGAATAACGAGAGCAATTGATCGTAGATAGAAATTTTTAATTCTATATGAAGATGTCTTGAATTCTGGCCATGAGCTTAATAACTTCATTATATGGTTAAAATCGTTCCTGATCATAGTCGTCGGAAGTGGATACTTATTATCACCGATAATCCAAGATGAACATACATCTAAATACATATTAAGTGAACTATATTGAGTAAATGATTTCACTGACGCTGACATTAATGCCAAAGGTTGATCCATAACTACAATTTTTGGACAGGGTGCACCATCTTTAACCCATTCTTGTAACCAATGAGATATACTATTAGTATCATGACGCTCAGATAACATATGAGCTACTCCATATTGTCTTTTGATAGTATGATCCATTACAACAACTTCGTATAAAAAAATATTCGCCGTTTTTCGACCAGAAATAAGTACAGGACGCTGTACAACTCCTCCGGTTGCATCAATACTAATAACTGAATTGACATTTTGTTTGATATATTGCCTGTAAACATCTAACTCATTACCAGACCAATAATGAATGTAAAAACGGTCATATCCTATATCACGTATAGTGGAGTTTAAATTATTTGTTTGCTTTAAAATAGAAATAGAAATTATTGGATCTTTATGAAGATTCTCTTTTTGTAATGCTTTATATTTTAATATTCTAAGAGAATTTAATGTTGGTATATGACTAGGCTCTTTTTCTCCAAAATGCATGATTTCTTTTGCTTCTATTCTTTGTATGTAGCTAGCAGACATATTTTCTTTTAACAACTTATTTTTCAGCTCGTCTCGTTTTCTCCCTATCAGTCTTCTTTTATTTGTTCCTTTACACTCTTTATACATTCCTTCATACTTACATGAAATTACAATAAGTGCATTTTCACCAGGTTCATTTTCCATTTCTCCAGTGAACCTACTATTACAAGAAGAACAACTACCAACAATTTTTAGATACATATTTCCTCCAGGATGCACATTAGCTCTTTTGTATGATATTGCACACGGAATGCCACAATGTGCATGAAAATGTTTATGTATAACATTGGTCCATTGATATGGTTCAAGTACAAAATAACTTTTTTGATTTGTTTTTGAAAATGTTTTATTCTGGCAGTTGTATTTCGTTATTTTAGGTCCAATCTCTTTCCATTCGTCTACAGTCAAAACTATATTAAACTTCATGATTTCTTTACATTCATTGCTTTCGATTTCAGACTCTTCAGATGAAATGTTCTCAATCGTTAGCTCTGTATGTTCTTTTGCTAATACTTGTTGTACATTATATCTATTATTTTTAACAATAGTATATAAATGCTTCGGTGTTAAAAGGTTATTTAATGTGTTGGCTATTTTCGTCCAACTTAAATCACTTGGAACAGGTATACCACTTTGAAAAAACATTTTATTGTCTTCAATAGCTTTAATGATATCCGTAGGTAATACTGATGGAGGTCGAGGCATAGTTAAGTCCTAAGAAAATATGTTAATTATTGTTTATTTTTATAAACAACATAAACCAATAAAAATAAGTGTGAAAGTAAAAACCCTAGTGAATAAAAAGTTTAAATTAAATCTAAATTTATTACAAAATTAAAAATGATAAAAAATAGCCATATTGAATAAAAAAATTATAGGTCACATAAATAAATCTAATTTGAGTATTAACAAACCATTTGAATAGATATGTTAGGCCTAGTTAAATAATAAAACCAAAATAAAATAAAAATGCATAAAAATTTATATTAAAAACCTAAGTCGAATAAAAAAAAAAAAATCTAAATTGGATAAAAAAGACGTGCGTGAAGTTGGCCACCCCACCATGACCATGTCTGAAAATTTTGTTATCATTTTGCAAACAATTTTCAAATTTTTGCAAATCAGTTTTCAGATTTTGTAAATAAATTCCCTGCCATGTTTAAAAAAATAGGACTGGAGGCTTAACTTTAAACAACCCTTTCCATCCAAGTTTGTCCTACCATCATCATACTTGTGCCAATATTTAGCAACATATTAGCAGCTAATTGCAATTTTCTTGAGAAAAATTTAAACTTTTTTATTAAGCATTATATTTTTTTATTTGTTTTATTTTTTTTCTATTTTTTTATTAAACTAGTGTTTTTTATGTGATTTAGATTTTATTTATTCAACTATTATTTTTTTTATTCTATATGTATTTTTTACTCAAGTTAGACTTTTATGAAATATATACACTGTATATTTACATATTACAATAAGTTGTTAATCATTTTTTTTTAAATAAATATAACCAATATGGTACCATAATCTGCAACTGATTCGCAACCTAAAAAATGTATTTATTATAAAAAAATCTAATTATAATAAAGAAATCATAGTTGAATTTATAAAATCTAAATAAGATAAAAGCCTAGTTTAATAAATAAACATTAATTTAATTTAAAAAAAGGTGGGCAAGTGGGTGTCACCTTGCTGTACAGTAGGTTACAAGTGAGTTACTGTAATGGATTATGTTATAAAAAATCTTTATTTAATATAAAATTTAAGTAGAATAAAAAATTCTGTTTTCAATAATAGTCTAAATTTGATAAAAAATCTTTTATTGTTAATAAAAAAAAATCTTTATTTTGAATAAAACAAATATAAATATAAATAAAAATCGTAATATTGTCTGTTTGATAAAAAATCTAAATTCAATAAAAAAAATCAATGTGATAAAAAAAAATCAATAGGTATTCCATCAAAAGCGGTTTGATAAAAAATCTAAATTTAAAATGAAAATTTTGGAAAAAAATGTGATATTTATTTTATAAAAAAATAATTTGAATAAAAAAATGTTAAATGAAAATATAGGTAAATAAAATATTCAACTAGGTATTTTTTGTTCTAATAAGATCTTTTTACTAAGCAGATATTTTTATTTAAATTAATTTTTTCATAAATAATTCAACTAAGATTAATTTTATATGAGATTTTTTTTTTATAAAATCAATTTTTTATTAAAATTATTAAAAAAAAAATCTATGTTTTATATAAAACATAATGAATTTTATTCGATAAATAAAATTTAAAATAAATAAAAATGTTAAAAAAAATCTATATAAAATTATAAAATCTATATCGAGTTGGCTAAAAAATCCCGAAATTAACCTTTTTTAACTTGATCATTTGTTTTATATTATATACTGATTATGGATTTAAGAATGAATATATTTAAAAATTGAGGGGGCTTAAATTAAACTAGGGGGAATTTCCTTGGCACCCACGGTAAATCAGCTATTAGTCGGGAACGGTGATGGAACAAACGACGAAATTTTCGGAACAAACAAGAGCAAATGAAGAACAATCGAAAGCCCCGGGTTTAGTTCCAAAATTCAAAAGTGGGGGTTGCCAGGGAAATGGACCTGATGAATGTATTGATTTTACAATGATGTGGGTTTTTAATTTTTTTAATTTTTAAATTTTAAATTTTAATTTTTGTGTCTGTCATCACTCATCACCTTTTAGGACGTACATTACCCCAGCACCCCCCCATACGATTTTCATACTTTTTTTTGTCCTAATATTTAGTATGCAATTAGTATGAATTAGTATGACCATTTTTCAAATTTGTACGCCTTTAGTTTTCGCCCCACAAACAAAAAACTGGGGCGGTGCTGGAGAAACGTTTCCCCAGCACCCCCCACAAGAACCAGTGTCATCACGGGGTTTTTTTCGGTCTCATCATTTAGTATGCGAGAGGTACGAATTTGTATGACCCTTTTTGAAATTCGTACGACCTCCCTTCCAAGTACAAATGTCGTTCCTAACATTTAAGCATTTCTCCAGCACCCCCCCAAATAGAACCGATAGCAATAGTGCGTTTTTTCGGTCCCATCATTTAGTATGCGAGACGTACGAATTTGTATGACCCTTTTTGAAATTCGTACGACCTCCCTTCCAAGTACAAATGTCGTTCCTAACATTTAAGCATTTCTCCAGCACCCCCCCAAATAGAACCGATGGCAATAGTGCGTTTTTTTCGGTCCCATCATTTAGTATGTGAGACGTACGAATTTGTATGACCCTTTTTGAAATTCGTACGACCTCCCTTCCAAGTACAAATGTCGTTCCTAACATTTAAGCATTTCTCCAGCACCCCCCCAAATAGAACCGATGGCAATAGTGCGTTTTTTCCGGTCCCATCATTTAGTATGCGAGACGTACGAATTTGTATGACCCTTTTTGAAATTTGTACGACCTCCCGTCCAAGTACAAATGTCGTTCCTAACATTTAAGCATTTCTCCAGCACCCCCCAAATAGAACCGACTAAAGTTAAACCGATTAAAGTTCCAACAAACGATGCGGTATTGCGGTGTAAAATATAATACCTATCATGATAGTATGATATATAAAATTAACGTAAAACATTAAAGTCGGTTCTGTTGATTTACAAAGTAAAAAAATATTTTATGAAATATTTAACAGTAGCTATAAATACTTTTTAAAAGTATTTGTATTTTGACTCTAATACTTATTTGCCAAGTATTCAAATAGGTACGTATTTTCAGTACGTACTCTTCAAAATAAATATGTGTATCTGTACTTGAATACTTATAAAAGTATCATTTATAAGAAAGTCTGTATTTAGGTTAAATAATAAAGCTTAACATTATTCCAAAAACACTGAAACTCTCCAACCATTAATTTATTATTTTGTAATAAATTGTACAAAACAATAATTTTTAGGATAATTTTATTAATATTATATAATATATTTGCTAATTAGTAGATACCCACTACATACTCCAAGTATGAAGTATGAACATTAATGATTATAAGAAAATCTAACTTGCTAATTATTTGCTCAATGTTAATATGGGTTAGATTGGTTCGAGAGAAATTGGGTCACTAAACTCCTAAACTGATGACATTTTGTCTATGGGTTTGTGTGCGTCCCTGAATGGTTTAGATTTACAATAAGTTGGAACCGGCAGGTATTATACTTGTAAATGTTGTGTGATATTTATGTAATTAAGTTTATTGCATTGTAGGTATAATAAATTGGACCTGGCAAGAACAACCCCGAAAGGTGCTCACACAAAGATTTTGAGATTTACGATAGAAATCGAAAATTTTGTATATGTATAAATGGTTACTATTAATTGGTTACAGCTTACAGTTTATGATATTAGGTATACTAAAAGGAGAAATTATTAGTAGAATTTAGCATTTTTTGTTTTTCTAAATGATTGCAATTATTATTTATTTACATATTATATTGATATTATAGGTAATTAGAAGAAACATTGCATAATATACATTTTGTACAAATATAATTACAAATATTTGGCTTGGACAACGTCGGGCGGGACAGCTTGTTTTATAGTGCAATCATAAATTATTTCTATTGTATTGTTGATTTTTAAGTGAAAAAAGTTATACTTTTAAATGTGTGATATTTATGTAGTTAAGTTTATTACACATACCTACTACCTTCTCTATAATATCAAGTGCTTATAAGATTATATAATAATAAATTGTATCTATTGAATTCATTGGTGCAAATAGCATTTAAGATTGGGGGAGAGGCTGCTATAAAGTAATATAAAATATTGAATATAATTGAAAATACTTTGGGTAATGTATGAGGCTTGACATTTTTCGAGCTTAGCCTCCTTTTTGCTCATGTGATTCTTTCTAATAATACATCTATAAATGGATAGGAATGTATTAATTATTATTTATCATATCTTTAAGTAGGTAAGTGTCTTAACTAAACACACATGGGTTAATAATTTTTTAACACTCGCAAATCACAAGAACTAAAATAAAAAACAATTTTTCTGATCAACGTATGTTTTCATTTCCAAAGCACATAGAAAAGATGGACAGCACCTCCAGGATTGGTATTACCTCTATGGTGTTAGGTCGTAGGTACAATGGTTGAGTTACAAATATTTTTTTAATACTTGGCAATCACCCAAATTCAAAAAAAATAACTAGTTTTCTTAACTATCGTTTTTGAAAACAAGCATACAAATTCGTACGTCTCGCATACTAAATGATGGGACCGAAAAAAACGCACTATTGCCATCGGTTCTATTTGGGGGGGTGCTGGAGAAATGCTTAAATGTTAGGAACGACATTTGTACTTGGAAGGGAGGTCGTACGAATTTCAAAAAGGGTCATACAAATTCGTACGTCTCGCATACTAAATGATGGGACCGAAAAAAACGCACTATTGCCATCGGTTCTATTTGGGGGGGTGCTGGAGAAATGCTTAAATGTTAGGAACGACATTTGTACTTGGAAGGGAGGTCGTACGAATTTCAAAAAAGGTCATACAAATTCGTACCTCTCGCATACTAAATGATGAGATCGAAAAAAACCCCGTGATGACACTGGTTCTTGTGGGGGGTGCTGGGGAAACGTTTCTCCAGCACCGCCCCAGTTTTTTGTTTGTGGGGCGAAAACTAAAGGCGTACAAATTTGAAAAATGGTC